GGGGGCGAATCCCAGCCCCCCGCCGTCGGGCCTGGTGGCCCCGGCTCGCGCCTGCGCAGAAAGCCTCCGGTGCTGTTTCCGCGGAGGTAGACACGCAGAACGTTGCAGTGCGACTAAGTAAGAGAAGCACTCGAGGCAGGGCAATGGGCTTCTAGCCCTCCGAGCCGACTGATCCCTTGAGTCGGCCGGGACAGATTCCCCTCTCAGAGCCCACAGATCCCAACTTCGACCGCAGCTCCCACAGAAGCCACTGGCACCTTGAATCCGCTCTCACCTTGAATCCAGCCATTCCTCCACACTTCCAGGGCCCTCCTCCTAACCCAAGACAACCTCATTTCTCACCCCCAGTTAACGAGCCACCCTGTGTCTACCCTTGTCCCAGTAAAGTGTGCTCTCTCCACGATGACCAGAAAGGTCAGTCTAAAAAACAATTGCAGTCAAAGGCCCTGCTCTACTCAGAACCCTGCTATGACTCCCTATTGCCCTCAGTGTACAAGGTAAACCCTTTGATGAAATGTAACTTTTAAAATTGCAATGGGGACCAGCAGATGGCTTAATAGGTTCGTCGCTGGACTCCCAGGTAGTGGACCATGGTTCAAGTCCCAGACCAGATGCATGAAACTCACCCCGGGCACCTGTGAGTGCATGCCCAATATTCCTGGAGTAGAATGGAGAAGTGATTGTGGTGCAGCCATGCCCCCTGGCAGTGATTTCTCATTTTCCATCTCTCTGTCTCTCCAGTGAGTGCATGTGACCTATAGCAAAAATCTCTCTACAGACAAAACCAAAAAACTCTCAAAAAATAAACTAAATAAATAAAATTGCTTCCTGATAGTGCTAACAGGTGTTCTGAACAGGTGGTGTGGTAGTTAAGGTGCTGGACTCCCACAGGATTGACGGTGATTCAAGTCCTGTACCCAGCAGCTTGCTCTCTCACTCCTCCCCTTCCCCTATGGTGAGCACATGTGCCATACAGCAAATTAAAAGCAATAATAAGAAGAAATAAAATCAAATTAATAATCCTTATTTTTAAAACTGCAACCTGGTACACCTCCTACTCCTCCTTACCCTTCTTTCTTTTCTTGTACAGCACTTATTTTATCCTCTAACATACTGTATAGTGTATTGTGCATTACATTTATGGCTTGTTGTCCCTCCTTCTATTTATGCTTTTCACTGCTGTGCACTCAGCACCTAGAACAATGTATGTCTAGGGTGAGGGAGTAATTATACGACCCCGTTGCCGAAAAACAGATGCCGAGGGAAAAACAGAAGCTGAGGAACAAAAGTGCAGCACTCCAGAGAAAAAAAGAACTCTTTATTAGGCCTGCTGGCGTAAAGGAGTTAATACTCTGAAGCTCCAACCCCAGCTGAGGGTTGGATAGTCTTTTATGGGTGAATTGGGGATGGGCAGTTTCAGCACACTTGCAGTGTCCCATCAGGGTGTCTGCCCTAATACAGAGCTGGCAGAGAAGCAGGGAGCACAAGGCCTCAGGCTGCTCAACAACAGTTCAGGGGAGGGGCAGTTTCAGCACGCTGGGGAACAGAAAGCCCAGGCAGCTATCAGCCAGCCCTGGGCTGCTTCAAAGTTATGCACAAGTTTCTCTACATCAGAACAGAAAGTTCAGGCAATTATCAGACTTGGGTTGTTCCACATCAACCCTAGGCAACCCACTAAACTTCCATTTGTTTCCATTGTTGTAGCTGTACCACTTTGTAGTGTGGCCATGAGGATAAAATCACCCAACCACGAATTAGTCGCCTTGCTTGGTAATTGTCGCTTTTTGTGTCTTTTTGTTGAGGACAGGAACTGGCTTTTATCCATTTCTGAGGCATAGGAGTACATCATAATGGTTAGGAGCATTACTTCTGTAGCTAGATTACGTGGCTGTATGACCACTGACAAGTGGCCAAACCTCTCTGTGCTTCATTTTCATCACCAATAAAATGAAGACAACAGTGGCTGCTGTATTAGAAAGTACTTAGAGGGTCTGCAGGTGGTATGGTGGTTAACACACTGAACTCTCACATGGCCTACCATGGTTTGACTCCTGAACCCAACAGCTTGAAAATCGTACCAGGCACATGAACATATGTGCCCAAAATCCCAGGAGGAGAATAGAGCAGAAGGTATTGCAGTGTGACCATCTCCCCTGGGGTGTGATTTCTCACTTTCCCTCTCTCTGTCTCTTTCTGGTGAGCGCACATGCTTTATAACAAAAATCTTTAAAAAAAAAAGTGCTTGGAACAATTAAGTGCCTGTTATTTCCGCATGGCAGAGAGGAGGAGGGCTCAGTTGTTAGGCCGAATTGACATAATAACCACCACCACGTTATACCTTCAAGGACAGAACCCAAGGAGTCTGAGACCACATAAATAAACAAAGTGTGGATGGGCCCTGACGATGCCAGGGCCAAGTCAACCTGACCTCAACTGAAAGTCCTAATCTAAACCTAAACATAGTGACAGCTAGCTTTCACACACCTCCTTCTCTCAAGTGGAAAATTACTGACTGTACTTCCTGCATTGCGATTCTGAGCTATAAAAGATCCCTTTATCTTAGGCTCGGGGTCCTTGTTGAAAGCCCGCTGCATCGGGCAGAAACTCGGACCCCAGCTAGCTGGAAAAATAAAATCCTCTTATGTAATTGCATTGTTGTCGTCTTTTCTGCATCACCAATGGTTAGATCTGATCTCAGGACCCTTACACAGTGAATGTTTATTAACAGGGCTTTGTCCTGCTTGTTTCCACATGCTTCGTAACACATCTTTATCCCTACAGAGCCAGATTTAGTGACAACATCTCGTATAGCTGCTTTGGTCAAGTTTATGCTCATTAGCTCCTACACTTAGAGGCCCTTGGGGAGGCCTTTGCTCCCCCTAATGCACATTACCCCAAGAAGGGTCTCTCTTTGAGTTCAGTATGGCTACCTTTTGATGTGAGGAGCTATATCCTATTCCTGTGCCAAACCAAAAAAATCATGAGATAACAGCAATATGAAAGAAAGGAATGAATGGCTGTGAGGGCTATGGGGGAAAAAAGGTGGCAGCAGAGAAGGGGGTTAGTAGTGCTTGTGGGAGTGAAGGGCTTCCAATGTAAGTATGGAGGTCCAATTTGAAGCTCATTGAACAAGCAAGATCTGAAGCAAGACTTGAAGGAGGCATGGGAGTGAGACAGTGTTGAGATTCAGGGAAAGGTGTTTCTGGTAAAGGAAACAACAAGTTGTTGAGGTCTAGGGTCATGAATGTACTTGGAATGTTAAGGGAGAACATGGAGGCTAGCACAGCCAGAGAGATGAGATGGAGGTCAGGGAAGGGACATGTAGATCAAGTAAAATGCTCTAGGCTGAGTTAAAGACTGTGCTTTACTCTGAGGTGGGTCAGAAGCACTTGGATGGTTCTGAGCAGAAGAGTAACATGACCAAAGGAAAGAGATTAGTAGGACACTAGGTACTTTTGTTTGGGCAAATGGATTCCAGAATCTTCAACAATATCTGGAACTTCTCTTGTCACTGCCACTAAAAAAGAGATTGGACTACAAATTACAGCTCCTTTTCACTTTGCCTTCTCCTTTCTTCTCATGCTTCCCTTTAAGGGTCTGATTAAAGCTGTCAGAGGTGAATGGGTTAAGCTTTAGCTAAACCTCCCTCTTCCTACTTTTAAGTTCTTCCTGTGGCTACTTCCACACCACCCAAAAGGAAACAATCCTATCTGTTACTGCTTAGTGCTAGTGCTGCTGACACATCCAGCAGACAACATTCCCTAAAATTCTTGACAAAAAAATGAGAATTTTCACAAAAGCAAAGAAGTTTTACTTCTCTGTGAGAGCCAAAGATATTTTAGAGAAGAATTCATCTTTTGCTTTTCCAGTTGAACATTTTCTCACAACAAAAGCCATGCAAATAGAGCTCTCTACCTTCTTCTTTCTGTGCTTTTTGAGATTCAGCTTTAGTATTACCAGAAGATACTATCTAGGTGCAGTAGAACTGTCCTGGGACTACAAGCAAAGTGACCTGCTTGGTGAGCTGCACATGGACACAAGGTAAAGACAAGATCTATAGGGTCTCGTCAGGAACCAGGATTGTGGGGAGGCTACTCTAAGGGGATAAAGATGGTCAAACAGGTAGACATCAGGTTAGGATGACTGTGATGCTAGTTAAGCCATGAAAAAACATTTCCAGGTCAGATATGCATGCACCTGTGTTATTAGCAAAAATGCTAATTGCTTCCTTTTCATCAGACTACTGTATTAGTTGATAACCTATTCTTCTTTGGCCCTCGCTTCTCCTTGTTACAAGCTCCACTCTGAAATTGAGAGAATGGAGTAGAGGGAGGGTGAAGTGGAGAGGAGCATGAGAGAGAGAGAACAAAACTTCCCTCCACCTCCCCAGAACTTCTTTGGAAAGAAACAGGACAATGAGATCCAATTAACTTTACACATGAGGTTAGTTTCTAAGTCTTTTGTGTGTGCATGTGGTAAGGTCTAGAATAGTTGCATTGTGGGTGGCATCATTTGGAGTAGGTAACCCTTTTATAAGAGGGAGAGTGTAGGCTTGCCCTGTCTGTCAAACAGGAGGTGATGTACAAATGCCTCAGTCTTTGATAAGATGGGGATGCTTTCTTTTGAGTCCTCTACTCCCTGCAGGTTGTGGAAATTTGATTATAGATGGAGTTCCACCCGTTGATGGACTTGCAAGACAGTGTAGCTCTCTTGCCACCTTGGGGTTGGGATGAGATGGGAAGTCCATTTTTTCCCCCTGAAGCTGCTTGTTCTTGCACTTCCCTACAATGTGTGTTAGGTCCATGCCAGTTTCCATGTTCTTCTGTGGGTGGGATTGCTGGATTCCACAGTGGTAGTCTGTGGCATGGAGTTTCAGGGAAGAGCATCTCTCATTTTTGTCCTGTGGATGAGGGTTGAGAAGGGGAAGTTCTCCAGAGCTTCACTGGCTTCAGGAAGTTATCTCCTCTACTTTTGCAAGTAGAAACCATGTAGACTTGAAGTTCCTGCTAAATGTTCTTTCTGATTCCTCTCTCTGTGGAGGGTGCTCACAGGCAGTGGCCATGGACCAGGTACCTGTGGGCTACAGAGATGGTGTCAGTTTGTCATCCCCTCAGTCAACAACTATGTTCCTCAGACTTGCCCCAACCCCTCTGAACCCAGTGTAGCTAGGGACTGATTGCCTAGGGTTGGCAGAGTGTGAGCCAGGGAAGTGGAGCACAAGGTACCAGCACTGGTGGATGGCATGGGCAGGTGCTAGCAGAGGTGGTCAAGCTCACAGGCCCAGATATTTTCTGTTATTAGCAACAGAAAATGGTGCTAAGCAATTAGAAAACAGAAATAGAGCTAGACCCTTCTGTTGCTAATAAAATCTATTTACTGGTTGTGTGTATTCATCTCAAATCTAGCTATCTTACCAAATTTTCTTATTAATTCTATTGATTTTTACCTTAGAGTCTCTATGGGTATTGGATGATATAGTCAGCAAAATGAGACAGATTTTATCTTTTTATTTAGTGTTTATAGTCAGTTATCTCATTTTCCTATCTTGTTGAATTTATTAGAAAATGTACAAAATTGTTAAATAACAATGAATGTGAGTGTTCCTATTACATGATTTTACTTGAATAGTCTTACTATTTTGCTATTTGGGATAAGATTTGCTGTTTTGTTTTTAATTGCCAGAATATGTGTGTGCTCACTAGAGAGATAAGAAAAATCTCTTGATGGGGTGTCATTACATTGCAGTCTCTTTTCTGTTTCTCCATCCTTTAGGGATTTGGAACATACATGTACAAATGCCTGGTGTGTTTTTCAAGCTGCTGGGGCTGGGAGTCAAATCATGGTTGGCCATATAGGATCCGACTCCCTTAACCACCAGGCTATGGGGCCAGCCCTTGCTAGTGTTTGATAAATGAGAATAGAAGTAACAAAGATTTTAATTATAGATGTATTTTCAGCATCTAACATCATCTGAGTTGTCCTTTTTTTGTGAAAAAGAAGATAGAGAGGTGTTATTGACTGGGTCTCACTATACCATGATTCTCCTGTCCCAGCTGCCTAGTTAGCTAGGCTCACACCATCATACTTGGCCTGTAATTGAATCCAGGTCAACCATGTGGCCCTAGCCTCTAACAGAGACAATTGCACCAGCCAGACTGACCCTGAATTGTTTACTTTAATATGTTGATGGTCAAAGAAATTATGTTAATAAATGTCCTTATATTCTTGAAGTACAATCTACTGTTTATATAGTTTGATTATTGCTATGTTCTGTGTGCTAATATTTCTTTAGGCACTGTGTGCCTTTACATGTGGGATTGATCTATAGCTTTATTTGTTTGGGTATACAAGTTCTGTTGCCTTTTTCAAGCATTTTGGTGAATACTCCATCTTTTTCTTTTGCCAAGAATAGTTCAAATAACATTAGAATTATCGCTTGTTAAAAGTTAGGTAAGGGGCCAGCAGTGGCGTGGTGGTTAAAGCACTAGATTTCTACACAGCAGACCATGGTTTGAGTCCTAGACCCAGTGGCTTGAAAAACACACCAGGCACATGTGTGTGCATGCCCAAAATCCTGAAAGGAGAATGAAGGGATTATGGGATGGCCATCCCCCCTGGGGGGGTGCTCTCTCACTTTCCCTCTGTCACTCTCCCACTGTCTCTCTGGCAAGTGCACAAGTCCTATACCAAATTCCAAAACAAACAAACAAACAAAAAACAGAAAAGACTTGTTTGCAAATCCATTTTAGCCAAGTGACATCTGCAATATCTTTAATCACCTCTTCAGGATCTTCTATGATAATCAGTCATTTCAAATTTCAATTTCTTTTGAAGTCATTTTATACATTTCTAGAGAATAATTTTCTCATTTCATTTTAGTTTCTTTTGGTTTACCTAGCTGCAGTTTCCCCCTAATACCTAGAAAATTAATGAAATCTATATCTATTATATTTTTATCTTTGTTTTTATTTGTTCTAATTAAAAAACAAATAAGGTTTTTTGCCACAAGGTTTGTGTGCTCACTGGAGAGAGACAATGAGAGGAAAAGTGAGTCGCTTTCTGTCTCTCTGTCTCTCTCTGTCTGGCTGGCGAGCACACGCGCCCTATAGCAAAAACCTCTCAAAAAAAATTTTTTTTGCTCATACTCCATAGTTCTTGACAGTTAATAAACCACTTTCAAAATTTCAAAAAACCAAATTTTAAAGATAGTGTTCAAAGTATGTGTTATAATTTTGTTTGTGACTCTATAACAACAGAAACACTATGGTTTTAAATATTTTTGAGAAAATATTTATATGTCAACTACACAAACTGTTGAAAAGCAACCACTCAGCACACAATTCATGCATGCACCTTCTCAGTTCAGCCCTGCCTACCAAGTATTCTGTGATATACCATAGGATCAGTCTCTTTTTTTATGTTATGTTATTTATTTTATTTTATAACAGCAATAAGATAGACTCAAAATATTGTATAACTTGATCAAAATAGCAAAATTTCCATCAGCAACAGATTGGTCATTATATTTAGATCTCTGTAAATTCCTAATTTTTCTTACATAGTAATTTCTTCACTGATGTTAGTCTCTTTTTCTTCCTTCAGAGTCTTCCTCAAGATAATCCTCTGGCTGTAACTGTTTGGTTTTTTTTTTTTTTTTTTTTTTTTTTTTTTGGTTGTGACTGTTCTTTTGCAATCTCTACTGATTACAATGCTAGACTGGAAAATTCCAAGTTATTTTATGGTACAAATTCTTTCATGTAGTTTCTCTAATCCTCTCTGCCAGGCAGAAATGTTTATGGTGCCAGGCCAACTTTCCAAGAGCTTCTGTTGACTTACTTGAGATCTACCTTAGTTCCATAGTTTTCTGGTTAATCTTCAGATATGACATTCCAGTCAGAGGCCTGTCCAATAACAAGTATTTCCAATTTCTGATTCAAGGCAACAGGTATTATTGAACTTATGCAAATAACCATTCTGCCACAAAATAAGAATACTCCCAATTTTCCAATTCCAGAGGGGTTAGGAAGGGAGAAAAGTTTATGTTTCCATTTAAAGAAACAAACAAGCTAGAAAAAATTTTTTTTATCAAATTGCTGAAACTATCAACAGCTCAAAAGAAAGCAAAATCCTTACATTGGGAAAACTAAACATAGTAAGGAAAAAAATCACTAATGTTTTACTCAAAAGTCATAAAATTCTATTTAACCAGTTCAGTCTTATATAATTCATCTCTTTTATATTGAATTTGCAGCATTACTGTGGTCCAGTCTTTCTGCTTAAATCCTGGAAATTAACATTCAGCATTATTATCTATATTTATCTGTAGCTTTAAGTTGGTCAATTTCTTCATTGCTTTTTTTTCCTCTTATTTCTGTATGTGTGTCTTTAGTTTTCCTGGTAAAGTACTCCTTTCAGGACTTCTTGAAGACCTGGTCTGATGTTGGTAAATTCTTTCAGGTTTTGTTTATCTGAGAATGCTTTTTATCTTTTTATCCCATATGAAGGATAATCTTGCCAGATATAGTATTCTTGGTTGAAATTGTTTTTCACGTAACACTTTGAATATATTTTCCCAATCTTTTCTTGCTGAGCTAGTGTGCTGCATGAACATGCCAGGACACACCTCAGATTCAAAAAGGCTTCTTGTCTGAGTGTTACAGGAGTCTCCCCAGTGCAATTTTCAAGCCACTGAGTCCAGGACTTGTACTGCAGCTGACCATGCGGGAGTCCAACACCTTAAACTCCACACCATCTCCTGGCCCCTAATTGTTCTGTCTTCTTGCATAGTTCACACATTAATATATAAAATCTCAGACTGTTTTATTTTATACAATAGGAAAAGACAAATAGTGAGAATTCTTATGCAGAAAAGTGGAGATTCAACTATGTTAGAGCTCCATATGCCATTTTCAAACTATATATATATGCTTAAATTTGACTAGAGAAGAACAGAGTGAGAGAGAGAGAAAGGGAGAGAGAGAGAGAGAAAGAGAGAGAGAGAGAAAGCCACCAGGTCTGGGACTCGAACCAGGTTCAGCCAT